GGTTAAATGTGGGTTTCAGTCCTGCATTGAGGGGTTAAATATGGATTTTCAGTCCTGCACTGGGGGGTTAAACTTGGGTTTCAGTCCTGGGGTGTTAAACATAGATTTCAGTCCTGCACTGGGGGGTAAAATATGAATTTTCAGTCCTGCACTTGGGGGTTAAATATGGATTTTCAGTCCTGCACTGGGAGCTAAATGTGAATTTCAGTCCCGCACTGGGGGGTTAAACTTGGCCGGGACTTTCCCTGCAGGAAGTGGCTCTGTGCCTCGGAGGGGCTGAATCACACGGGGTCCTGCAGAGCTCCGTCCCCTCCGGGCAGGATCAGGGTGCCCGAGGGGGGTGCAGGAGCAGGATCCAGCCTTGCCCTGGGCGCACAAGGCTGGGTGAAGCTGCAGGAGCTGGCGGGAAGGAAAGCAACAAAAAAAGGAAGCTGGGTAACACCACAAGGCAAGGAAAAAAAAACACGAACCCCGCTGCCACTGGCGCTAAGATTAGCAGCAGAGGAAATGACACTGAGATGTCATGGAAGTCTGCTAAAGTTGGATTTCTCCTTTTTCTCTCCTGCCCTCGGAGCAGGGTGTAATTGGCCCGGCAGATGGGAGAGAGGCTCGGTGTAAATGAGAGGTCAGGGCTGGGCTGACATCCTGAGCCCGGCCCCAGCAGCCTCCCCTCCCTGTCCTCGTGCCTGCCCTGGTTATTCTAGGGGCAGGAAAGGCAATGGGGGTTTGTCCTTCTAGGAAAGGATCACTGCGGTTCCTGGGCTTAACTGGGGATGGGACAAATTGAGCTGGGCTGGGATTGGGACCACTGGGAGCCAGAGTGATCCATGGCCCTGTGGGATGGGATGGAGAATGGGAATGGGATGAAGAATGGAAATGGGAATGGAATGGGATGGAGAATGGGGATGGGATGGGATGGGATGGGATGGGATGGGATGGGATGGGATGGGATGGGATGGGACGGGATGGAGAATTGAAATGGGAATGGGGACAGAGGGGGAGAATCGGGATGGGATGGAGAATGGAAATGGAATGAGAATGGAATCGAGAATGGGGACAGATGGAGAATGGAAATGGGAATGGGGACAGAGATGGAGAATGGGGATGGGATGGGATGGAGAATGGAAATG